CTTGTATTTTAATATTCATCAATAAGCAGATCCCTTAAATTTACTTCAAAACTTGCAATTATTACATGCAAAAATCTAAATTCAAGAAATTATATGCGAAGATAACTAGGCAATTTGTTAGTTTGTTTTATTCTTCTTCTTAACTACTCTCTTTTTAAAACCAACTCAATAGCACACTGATAAATAGGAACAAGGATAGGAACAGAAAAAAGGAATAATAAGGTAAAACTGTAAAAACATTTTACTTTATTTACAACATACAATTAACAATACACTAATACACTAGCATTCCATGCATTCAGGCAAAATAAGTAAAGGGCAGTGTGTATTAGCTTGCTGGACAAGTAAAGATAACCTGGAAACACAGATGTCACTACAAGTAATTACCGTATTTACGCATGTATAGGCCGCACATTTTTTGCCAAAAATTCAAGAGGAAAACTGGGGTGCGGCTTATATTCGAAATATTCGAAATCACACTTCATTTAAAAAAATTATATTCATAATTAGTAATACAGGGTGTAATACTCCTGAAATAATATTCCAAGAAAATTATTTTTTCTATAATTTCTGTCTGAAAATTGTGCTGCGGCCTATACACGCATGCGGCCTATACATGCGTAAATACGGTAGTTTCTAAGATGTGGAAGTGATTTACAAGACTGCATTTAATGTGCATGATCATAACTTGTGAGTTCTTCAGAGGCTACGTTTTTTGGCATGGTACAGTACTGCGGAATGTCTGCTGAAGGCCAGAACTATAAAATCAGCAGAGACAGCCATTGCAAGGTAACGACTTTGTAACACCCAACAATGGAGTAACTGTGGGAAGTGGTGTTTTCTGCGTGGTCTGTGCTGATAGCTACATCATGCAAATATAGAAGAACTGTTGGGGGAGGTGTTTTCTGTGGGGTCCGTACTGAGGCTTCACTACAAGGAGCAGTCTGCAGTCAGTCTAGAGAAGTCTACATAGAGTCCAAGTCAAGTGTCTAGAGATAGTCTACAGTCAGTCAGTCAGTCAGTTAATTGAGAGTTGCAGTAACTGAGGCCGGGATCAGTTCTGGAACCCAGAGCAAGGGGCATGCCTGCCGCCGGATGCTGAGTGGTCCGGATGCTGAGTGGTGAAGGCTGTGACTGAAACCGCTAGTCTGTGTGTGACGGCGATTTTTAAAGTGTAGTCATGAGTTGTGTATTAAAGTGTCCAGTAAATCTTGTCCATTTAATCTAGTCATCCCACTTCTGACACTAGTTGTCATCTGATAATTTCGATAGACGGGGTTTGGATTAGTAATCGGATGTTTTCCTTAAGTTTGAACTATCATTACCTAAGTAGGAGGGAGTCTAGATGATCACACAAATAAAATTATTTCTATTGTAATTTGTAAAATTAAGCCTTCTTTGATTATGTGTAATTGTATTAGCTACTTTTCCAATGTTATAACTTAACCTAAGAGTACTGAAAATGAACTATCAAATAAACACATTTCTCACATAAACTGTGTAACATTCATATTAATGCTGTAAATTACACTGAACTTAGTATATCAATGTCATAAATAAACTAATCAATAATTAATGTATCTAGAATGTAAAATAAATTTTAGATTCAACTTTCAGATTTATTTCAGACAAGGAATTACTGGTGGACTTTTGTCTTGCTTGTTAACTAATATTGTATTTAAGTGTCCTGTTGCATTAATATATAATTTGCACACACATATTTCTGTCTTAAATGCAACTTATTATCTAGACACCCTTCTTCTTCACTACATGTTTGGCCTTATAGGCATCATCATGTCATCTATCTTGCTAAAATTGTTACACTGTATGTCAAAATTACATTTCGGATATGAACGCAATATTTCCCAATTAAAATAAATTAAATTAAATTAAAATTAATCACGTAAACATAACTGTGTGGTAATTAATTTAATCAAATTGGTCTTTATAATAATTAATTATTTTAAATTAATTGGGATGTTAATTAATTATAATTATGGTGAATTTATTATAATTCAAACACAATTTGATATTTGAAATTGCAATTTGGTGTAAAAGAACAAAAGGGCAAATTTCATGAATAATTGCAACTATTCCTAGTTAAGTCAGAAGAATCTGGACTTCATACTTTAGAATCAAGTGATGTAACCAACTTGATGTCATATAAATCAAGAACAGCAGCTGCTGTCATGTCAAGTTTCGCACTCTATGATTCCTCAAGACACTAGCACCCAAGATCACCATGTATTGGATGAAGGTACTGAAGTGGATTTTGTTCTTTTTTCAAAGTCACGACTGTCACAGATATCTTTACTTCCAGTGAATTTAATATAGGTACAGTATTAGTACTTCCGATGTGGGGATGTCTGTCTTGAAGTTAAGTTTCAGCATGTCCATTGAGCAAACAGTTTCCATAACAGGAACAATATATAATAATTAAAATAAGAATGACGAGATAATATCTAACTACCAATATATTTTTCTGAGTCTGGTCTTTTTATAAAGTTACTTTGAATTAATAACTTTTTACCCATAGAATTATTTGAGTATCCACATTTAAATAAACCTTTCATTTTGTTTCCATAATCTAAATAATATGTAATTTAAGCTGAACTGTGTTAATTATTATTAATGTTTGTTAGAAGAAAGGAAAAATATTACCAAAAAAAATTATTACCAACACAATAATTGGAAAACATGATCGCTCAGTTTGAAATGAATACTAAATAAATACTGCAAATACTACTGGCTCTGATTAACAATTCAGTTTATTGAGATAAATCAGTACCTTTTTATAAGTGATATGAATTCCTGCAAGGTACCAAAATCAGGAAGAAGCTTAAGGCTACACACTCATACATTTCTATTAAATCACGAACTAGTTCCATTTATTATTACAGGATGAACAGTTTGATTAAATGGGAACCAATAAAGGAATATTATTACTGTCTTGCCTAAAAGACTTAGTTTAATGGCAAGAAAATTGGTCACTTTTAAGTAAAGTTTTTCATTTGTTTTGGGCAGTTTTGATTTTCAGTGCAACCTTCTCATTTAAGTTGAATATATTTATATTTAACCAAAACCCACTATTTCAATAAATACATTTTGGATCCTTAAGTCTCACTTTATAAATCTTTAATTGCATATGCCAAAACAACACTTGAAACTTATCAATTATCATTGTGTATGGATAAATACCTTACATTTTGTATAGTAAAAGCCTTATCACATTAGTACATTTGCTCTTCTATCAGTTACCACTTGAATATTTAATTTTGGTACATTAAATTATATTATTATTTGGACACACTGGAAGCTAACATTATCATAGGGACTGATTAACCATTAACATGCTCACAGTGTCAGTAAACATACAATAGTAGAACTACATATAAATATGCTAGAATAAAGAATTAATCTTTCTAAGATCATTAAGGTACAAGGGGAGGGAGAACAAATGTGTTGCAGGTGTGACAAACTATGTTACAATACGTGTGGAATATTAGATGATGAGTTTAATGACTGGACGTGTAGCCAAAAGGGAAAAACATATTAACCAAGACATAATTACATTTCATGTCTAACTACTTCTGTGCTTTAATTGTGTCCAATAATGCAGGCCTACATAACAACCCCATTATATACTTCATGAAACATTGTCATGCAGTCACTCAGTAGGTCAGTCTGAACTCTTGATTGCTAGTTACTGTCACTTGGAATGTGTGAAAATGTTGTGCTTACAATATGCAAGTTAAAAATAGAATAAAGTAAAAGAAGTATAGAAGCTTAGGGTTCTAATCAAAGTGGATGTTAAGATCAGTTTTCTGGGATATTATATTGTCTGGTAGGTAAATGCCTATCTAGTAACAATAGAAACAAGGATGCTGGTGGCACCTTGCGCCAGGTCTAACATATGTAAACAACAATAATCATCGTAGCACCAGTCATATATTCTGTCATACTAACATTTAAAGGCTAAGGACTCTTATGAAAAGTGTCTGCCTGAGTGGCAAGTTATGAACATACTTTTAATAGTGGAACTCTTTAGGTGGCGATTCTTACAGCCATGAATGATAATTAAAATTAATTTAAATTCACTGGAGGGGGAGTGGGGGACTCCAGCTGGATCCACTCGGCACAGCGGCCACTGATTGGCCTATTGTACCTGCCCTAGGTGATTATGATGATGGAGAATTTGGTGGAATGAAGATTGGCACTGTCTTCATAAACCAATTGCTAACCTCTCATGTTTTCAGAAAAGTGCATATTATGCTGGGTTCAACATTTTTAATAACCTGCCAACTGATCTCAAAGGTCTTATGAATGAAAAGTCATGATTTAAAACAGCACTGAAACAATACTTAAATACATTAATTCTACTCTGTTGATGAATACCTATTGTCTAGAAAATAACTTATGTATCTTTAAATAGCCTTGTGTGTAGTCACTGTGTATTCTTGGTTTCTCTTGTGGGAGAACTTTATTGGGTCTGTACATATGTTTTGTATTTATATGACATATTCCACATCCTCCAGCCATTTTGATTAACTTTGGATACATGGAATTCAATGCAATGTAATGTAATTTAATGTAATGTGATGTACACAAAAAGGAAAACATGGCCTACTGGAGTTTTGTCTGCTGGAAGATAAGAATAAATTATCTTGTTTTGTGTCATCCTAGTAATTGGGGTCCATATGTTAATATTACCCTAATTAATATTTTCCCTCAAAAACTTCCAGATATTGGAGCGCTCCAGTTGTGAGAGACCCTGTTAATGGACCCTATAGTAAGTTTTAGAAAAAAGTACCGTTATATTCCTAGTAAATTTTGTAGTAGCAACAAAGGCCACATATCAGTCTGCTTTGTAAGCACCAGGTTATGACTTTAAGCTACACGTCCTGCCGGCATCAGAGAATTCCCTTCACAGCGTGCCGTGTTATATGCTGATGATAGCAGTACCTCGGGTCGTCCTGCATCCCGTCCTCTGACTGCCTTACCTCTTTCAACTGATTCAGCAGCTGATCATTGGGATCCGAGGGGCTTGCAGTATCGGTCGAAGTTTTTGGCTTTTCTTCACCATGCTTTCCTTCTCCGGCCCCACTTCTGACTGTCTCCGTCGTTAGAAGAAATGATGTGACTCCTGAGGTGTTTCCATGAGACAGCTTTAGACGAGTTGTCTCTGTGACTTCGTGAATTACAACATCCGTTGTCACCTGAAAGACAATGAAATTAAGAAAGTGGATATGATTTCCACATTCTGATCTTCTGCATTCAAGCAGTTATGACGGTATTTCCTATTAAATATGCACAGGCACAATGACAGCTTTCTTTAACCTGTAAGCACACTTTCATAAGCATGTTAAATCAGTTTATGCACGTACAAATGGGGTGTAAGGGGTTTAAGGAGAAGTAATGTGGTCAACTTGGCCTGATGGTGAATTGTACATAATGCGGAAAATGAATGCTAATTCATATAGAAGATTGCAGACTCTTAACGGCTGTTCAATGCTAATGTGGATCATACACGTGCCATCACGCAGGAAAACGATTCAAAATACTAGCTCTTTTCTTCTCTAAATCGGACATTAATGTGCGCTAAGATTAGCAACTGTAACTCAAGAAATTCCAGAATGTATGTTTCAAAATGTCACGTGTTTCCTTGGAAACGTTGAACCAATGATACGCGTACCTTCATGTACACGAATATCATGCACTTGATTTGCACCAGTTCTCCGCTACAAGTTTGCGTATATTGGTCAACACGGAACCCACCTCCGTAACCGTTCTCACGATGGCTTTCTCCGTCTCGCTCTGGGAGGACGGTTGGTCACTGCTTGATTCTTCTTTTGGACGCCTCTCTCTGCCGCAGCAATCCCCTTCCACGTCCGACATGCGGTCTACTTCCCACCACGGAGACGCACCACCGCATTCCGACGCCGTGTGAAATGACGATGATCTCGAAGGAGGGGTGCACGTGCACTCAGAAGCCGTGATGAAGTCGTCATCGGACTTACTGTCGTCTGCAGAAGCAGTTTTCGAAGGCGTTTTCAGATTGGTGTACCATTCCTGTAAGTAGAAGGGGATATTTAAACTGTATACTTTGACCAGAATCTCCCAACAGGAAGGAATTCAATAAACTCTGTGAGTAGCACTGATATTATAATTTGACTCTATATGGACTAGAAATTCTTTGCATAGAAAAATGGCTAATCTCGATGATCTGACAGGTTTTCCGGTTTCCATTATTCGCCTCTGAAGGTAACGCGTCCATCTGCCTAAGAATGCATGCCCCTGAGATTTTACATCAAACGCGATTTCCTCACAAAATATATTTAAGCGACATTTTAAATACTAACTTGACAGGTTTGACGTTTGTGTACATACCTCCGGTGTGGTTGTCGCTGTGCCATCCAGGATGCGTTTGATATTGGAGCCATGTTGCGCACCACACAGAGAGGCGTCCAGCTGCTCGGCCAGCCCTGTTACCTCGGAGAGTTTGTCGGAAATTGCTTCTACTGCCGTTGCATTGATGCCACTGTCCACCGACCTGCAATGGATGGCTCTCTCGTTACACGAGTGTCAGGACACAGAAGCTGTTCTCAGATCCTCAAGTATAATAACTTAGTTCGAAACGCAGAACGTCTCACTGCGCTAAAATGTCGATGAGGCAAAACAGAAAGGATAGCAAACCTAGTTCTGAAACCCCATAAAAGAAAAAGGACATAAAACAATGAATATCTTTATAATCACGCAAGTCAGTTGCTTCTTGGGAATCGGATGAAGATGACGGATGTGCCGAGACAGTGAGACTGAATGTTTATTTTGTGCAGCATCGCTTTCTGGAGGCCACGGTGGTGGGGAATGGATCATAGTCAAAACTGTCTCAAGCGGGCGCAAGCCATCCGATAAGAGGTGCAAGTAAAATGGACATTATTTATAGCACTTTAATAAATAAATTCATTGTCAAAAACGAATTATATCTTCTCGGATATAGTATTGTATAGTTCGGTGAAAGTCAACTGATTTTTCGAAGGAAGACGTGGTCTCCATCTTCAGGGATCGAGACTGATCGAAATAAGAAACCCTGCATGAAACAGACACCAAGCTAGTAACTTGCTTGGCTAACTCTTAAATGCTGAAGTTGGAGGCGATATGTTCCTGCGAAACTTCGTTTGACTTCCTGCGGGCTACACGGCGGTACATCCTAGAAAATAGAACTTTTCATAGTCAGCGCTGTAAGAACTGCATTTCAACGTGTTGCCAGTATCTTTCGTCTAGTTTTGAACATACAATATTTTCAGTTTTGGTTTCTTAGTTGAAGGTTTAGTTGAAAGAACCAGGCGATTCCGTTTTACCTGTTTTCGGCAACAGGACGAAAATAAAACTGAACTGTTTTAAAATATTCAACAGAAGCATGCGTTAAGCAGTTCCTTTGCCTCTGTAACTCAACGGGAAGTAGTTATACTATCCCAGCCACACATTAGGTTACATTTTATGATGTTTCGTAGAATTAGGTCAATACCCACAGTTAACTAAGTTCATGGACTAATAATCTGTGCTAAATACAGAATAGTTAAACTTCATAATGCATTCAAAGTTACCTTCTATTGTTAGCTGTGTCAACACGGAACCCCATGACATTGCGTTTACAGTTTAATTTCGGTGGAATTAATGTCCTACAAATGATCAACTTAATCAGTAAAGAATTGAACTGAATTGGAACAAGACATTCTCGGTTTTCCTTTGTGAATTCAAGAAGACAGAAGATATCTTTATTAAAACTCTTCAATACTGGAATTGTTTGGGTGGAACACAGCTGAATTAGTTATGGTATTCCAAGCAGTGCACGAAGCAGAGGACTCGGTCGAGTGCCTTTGTTTATGAGGACGTCAAACGTCTGCATTAAACGTCTAAAGCAACGTCCAAATTAAACAGCTTTGTTAGAAAACGTATTTCGATTTCGCTCTATCCCGACAGCCATCACACTACTGTTATATTTTCTGGACTAGCTAAGCTTTTCAAAAAGGATTCTGCTACATGATATTAGTTAGTTATACAATTTGTATTCCCTGTTATGTGTACCTAAGGCAGCTGAAGGCGATTTCAGTCTGTTGGGATGCAGTATTTGCTTTAACCACTTTAAGTTTAATCGTTAATTTTAAAAGCAAATTTTTCTCTTCTCAGCATAATGAGTTCTGTTGCCGTTTATAGCTCATAGGCTTAAGGCGCACATTTGTATGCTCCAGCGTCTAAAACAACTGAGATCCTGATACACTGTAGGACCAAAGCGGCAGTGTTTGTTATTACTATGCAAATTCAAGCGTAAGAAATACTGGGCCACTGTACAACTGTAACCCGTCACATGACATTCTTCGGGCGCGGGAAGTCATGAAGATGCGGATACTAAAAGCGATCATTCTTCTCAGACAAGACGATTGGCAGTTTGCCAGCCTCAAGTTAGTGCACTCGTTTAGAATTTATGATGCTTATTTTTCGCAAAGAAAAAAAGTGCTGCCCAGCCATAAGCCATCGTCTATAGGTTAACTGTAGGTCACACACACATACAAACAAAATCTCTCACGAAGTGAACATTCGGGTCACAGGCCCGGCATTATGCTCCGCCATTTATCGAGAACGGAAATGACTGTCTTCATGCTGAGTTCAGTTGAACTGCGGTTTGAATAAGATTTATGATTTCACTGAAACTTGAGATGATGTCATTTTGTTCTGGGAAAACAGCACAGGGACAGGCAATTGCGAATGATAGTGGTTTTCACGATTATTTGTGTTCATAGTTCTCTTCGTTACAGTTTATATACGTCACATCCTTTCCTGAAGTCTCTATTCAACCTTTGCTTTTCCGAAGGCACTGCCCCACCTACAGACAATATTTATGACGGAATGAGAAATTAATTACGCCAAAAATGAATACCTGGATAATACTGTGACATGTTAACGCACTGCCAGGCAACGGCTAGAAAAACATCCCGCGATACACGCACGCAAAAATGGAACAACGAGGTTATGCAACCCCCTTCTAGGCAACGGCTTGGTAAACGCACTTCCGCTCAGGCGCAATGACGTCACACTCCATAAGTACTTAGCTATCACGTGACTTGTATTCTGTGTGATCTGCGCAACGCAACAACAGAACTGCGTTTTCTGTGTTGTCCGTGCGGAGCCTATATAACGAAGGCCTGTTGTAGTTTAGATTGGTACAGAGCACTTGAGAGTACAAGGACGAGAATGGAGCATGTACTTAGTGAACTGTGAAGATTAGTTGAGTACAAATCAGGACAGAGGAGTATGAAGCGACTGAAAACAAAAAGACTTCACAGTGATTTGAAATGGCAGTTTGTGTGTTGAGATCCGTTGCTAGGAGACGACTAGTGGAAACTGAGAACCCTAGTTCGTGTGCAACGGTGAACTGGAAAGTGTGTAAATCAGCGATAGCGCTCTGCTGAGTGTAATTAGGAGAGATAGTAACAGTTGCGCTAATATATCCAACCAACCGATTTAAAACCCGTTATTTTCGACACGCGTACACGTGACAATATATACAGGCTGATTATCTGAGAAGCTGCCGCAAACTGTTCAGACTGTCTGGCGGGAGGAACACGCGTTACTCGAGTCAACTAGCGCGGTGCTTTGACGGATCATTAGCTTATTCACAATGTTATTTCTCTCCAACATCGCCCCAGTTAACATCTCTGAACCGATACCGTGAAGTAAGTCCAAGTCCTCTTATGTTCTTGTCGACAGTAAGGCTGAAAACCCACAGACGCGACAAGCCGCGCGCGGTTTGTCGAGTGTTGTCGCTCGCGGCCGTTATTTGTATTGCTTTTATAATCCGCGCGCGGTTAAGTTTTGGAACGCGGCACGCAGGCGGCAGAGCTGTCGCACGCCTAATATGTACAACTAACGGACGCGCGCGACAAAGAGCGGCTAGCCGCACGCGACTAGTCGCGTCAGTGGGTTTTCAGCCTAATCCCTACTGAATTCAGCAATCAGTCGCGTTACTTCTTGCGGTGAAATGGTGCGTGAGAGTTACACATTGAAACGAGCGTTCATGTACGCACCAGGGTGAAAAATATGACGAAAATTCCGAAGTGAATTTCATGATACTGTTACAAATAGGAAACAACACCGAGTGCTTGCTGAAGATAAACTAAATTAAACGCCTTGAAAAGGCGGCCGGGATGCAGAGCTTCAGGTTTCGAGATTCTGTTTCAGAAAATGCTTGTCAGCACCTCAGCAAGGTATGCATGCATAATGACAGGGGCCACTGCCGGCATCTGCTGTGGTCTGGGAGGGATATTTTTATATTAGTTGGCCTATGGGCTTGTCAGCTGCGCTGCGGGTTCGAACACGCGGGGGAAGAATTGACGCGAAGAGCATTTTTTCTCTTCTGCTGGACTGGCTGAACGATTTGAGGTGGGCTCACATATAACTTTCCTGTAGGTTCGAGTTAATAATAAACAGTACTAACAAAAGTTATCTTAGGGACATATACATATTTTAAGTTTAAATATAAATTGATAAAATTAAGTATGGAAGACTGAAAACTCAGAATTCGAGAATAGGCATATAGAAAGTATAGGATGCAAATTTAATCCAGTAAGCTAAAATGTGGATAAATTGAAGTAAATTAATTTGAGGACAGTACACTGTAACAGTCAGGAGTTAAGCAGGTGAGGGCCTAAGGTGAGGCTAAGAGAATTCAAACTGCCGTCTTGTAGGTTCTGACATCGTACAGTCTTGTAGCTGAAAACCAATTCTTGGAGGAACATACTGCCTTCCTCTCCACCTGCAGGGCCACTCTTTGGCACAAGCAAGTCACTTGCACTCTGAACCTGGATAAGATGGCTCGTGCATCCTTTGATCTAAGTGCATGAAAGAACGTGTAATAAAGAGTCGTGTTGGCTCGTGCGTCCACTCAGTTTCACGCGCTACCGAAGGTTACAGGATGTACCTGATTGTGATCTATCTTGTCCAGTACAACCCTTACTCAACAAGAAGCTCAAAGATGTCCCACGGCATAAATCGCTGGCGTTAATGTACGCAGAATAACAGAATATACCTCATTACGGTCTGCATCTCTTATATGAAACATTTTTGGATACTGTAAATGCTTAAAGAAATAGAATCAAATTTAATTTATGATATTTGGCAATGTGATGCCTGTAGTGAGATTACCTCTGCAAGGTATATATATTGTGGCGTGCCGCGAGAAAACCGGAGTGAGTTACGAGCTCAGGGTTGATTTCCTAGGTAACGACCAACGTTCCCGCTACAATACCTAGAAATCGGAACACATCCATTGCTATACAACAGCTGGCAATATCCAAGCAACGAGTCGTTGGAAGCAGCGTTTGCATATCAGCGGGCGGAATTGACCCTTCAACAAGGTATCCCCTACTGAGTCCGAGGGCAAGTTATAAGAGTCCAACGTCGGCCAGAAACCAGCAGAGTTTGTATTCGATTCTAGCAGGAAAGAGTTCTTACTGGGCTAGAACAGAAGAGTTCTTACTGGGCTAGAACAGAAGA